CAGTACGGTTCATAAAAGCCCAATAAGGTTCATTAAAGCCCAATACGGTTCATTAAAGCCCAACGGTTCGCCGGAAAGCCCAATACTTTTATTAAACCCCAATACGGTCCATTAATACCCAATAAGGTCCATTAAAGCTCAATACGATCCATTAAAACCCAATACGGTCCATTAAATCCCAATACGGTTCATTAAAGCCCAATACGGTTCATTAAAGCCCAATACGGTTCATCAGAGCCCAATACGATTCCACCAAAGCCCAATACGATTCCACCAAAGCCCAATACGGTTCATTAGAGCCCAATACGATTCCACCAAAGCCCAATACGATTCCACCAAAGCCCAATACGGTTCATTAAAACCCAATACGGTCCACTAAATCCCAATACGGTTCATTAAAGCCCAATACGGTTTATTAAAGCCCAAAACGGTTCATTAAAGCCCAATACGGTAAATTGTTAATTCTTTTTTTTTAAATTATCTAATTTTCCGCCGTAAATTCGCCGGAAAATGGTTTATTCTTTTTTTTTAAAAAATTATTTAATTGTCCGCCGGAAATCCGCAGGAAATGCTAATTTTTTTAGAAAAATTATTTAATTATCCGCCGGAAATCCGCCGGAAAATTGTTTATTCTTTTTTTAGAAAAATTATTTAATTATCCGCCGGAAATNAAAATTATTTAATTATCCGCCGGAAATCCGCCGGAAAATTGTTTATTCTTTTTTTAGAAAAATTATTTAATTATCCGCCGGAAATCCGCCGGAAATGGTAAATGTTTTTAGAAAAATTATTTATTTTYCGCCGGAAATCCGCCGGAAAATGGTTTATTTCTTTTTTAAATAATTTTTTTAATTTTCCGCCGGAAATCTGCCGGTAATATTAAAGTTTTTTAAAAAAATTATTTATTTGTCCGCTGGAAATCCGCCGGAAAATTGTTTATTCCTTTTTTTAAAATTATTTAATTTTCCTCCGGAAATCCGCCGGAAATTTGTTTACTCTTTTTTTAGAAAAAAATTAAAAAATTCGCCGGAAATCCGTCGGAAATGCTAAAGTTTTTTAAAAAAATTATTTATTTTTCCGCCGGAAATCCGCCGGAAAAATGTTTACTCTTTTTTTAAGAAAAAAATAAAAAATCCGCCGGAAATCCGCCAGAAATGTTAAATTTTTAAAAAAAAATTATTTATTTTTCCGGCGGAATTCCGCCGGAAAAATTGTTTATTATTTTTTTTTAGAAAAAAATTTAAAAATCCGCCGGAAAAATGTTTACTCTTTTTTTAAGAAAAAAAAGAAAAAATCCGCCGGAAATATTAAATTTTTTAAAAAAATTATTTATTTTTCCGCCGGAAATCCGCCGGAAAATTGTTTACTCTTTTAGAAAAAAATTAAAAAATCCGCCGGTAAAATGTTGTAATTTCAAGATTAAACTGAGTAATTAAGCAATCCGCCGGAAATTGTTGGAAGTCAATRAAATGTTGACTTTTTTAGCGTCCGCTGGAACGCCGCCGGAAATCCGCAGGAAAATTAYCGAAACTGCGTCGGAAATGGTCAGTTTTCTAGTAGTGGTAGTGCATTAATTAACTTGTWACGATAAAGTGGGTTTCTTAGGACCTGCGGTCATCCTTGCATTCTAATAAAGTACTTCACAAGACTTTTAAGTGTTAGACCAACGAATGTGCGTCCTATTCGGAATTGTACGACCTAACAAATTCTATCTACAAAGTTATACAATCTAATAAGACATACGAAGTAAACCGCTTTACTACTCTTTTTAAATATACTTTTGATAAGTATAAAAGGCTAATAAGACACRTTTTCGAAGTTGTCACATAAAAAAACTATAAAGACACATTATTTTTTTTAGTTTTATTATGTTGCCTATTTTCGTCGACAAAACTTATTAAGGCATCTAACAACTTATTGTAACGTTATATTAATTAAGACATAAAATTATTAATATTAATAAATCAAGTCATATTAAGTCACCAAATAAAAACCGTTAAATCTATCCTAAAAAAAAAGTCCATTTTATTGTTTATTAACGTACCAATTCAAACATTTAACGTTGGAGTGCTTTTTTGCTGGAATGATTATATGTTTTCTGGTACATCAAATTTTCGCATAAAACCAATTATTGTAATTGTAATTAGGGGAATGTGAATAACTATGAGAATCACTTCTCCACGGATATAAAACATCGTTAAACCAAAGAGTAAACTACATTTTTGGTCCCTTTTGGTTTACGATCCATATTTTATTAAGTATAATTAAAGCTGTAAACGAATCGAACGTTCAGCGAACCGTTCGTGAAGTGTTCGGCGGGAAGTTTGTTTATTTAATAAATGAACGAAAATGAATAATTTTTTTTGTTCGTTTAGTTAAACGAACGAACATGAACAATAATCTCGTTCGTTCATTTATGTTCGTGAATATTCGTTCATTTATGTTCGTGAACATTCGTTCATTTACCGTTCGTTTACGTTCGTTTATATTCGTTTATATATTAAATTTAATATATAATCTTTTATTTATTTACTTTGAATTCAAATAATATTTATTTATGTTTGTTTAACTCGTTCGTTTATGTTCGTTCGTTTAGCATGTTAACGAACAAACATAAACGAACACGAACACATCTGATTTCTGAACGAACGAACACGAAAACAAAGATTTTCGTTCGTTTACGGTTCGTATCCGTTCATTTGTTCGGTTAAGTTAAACGAACAAACATGAACATGCCTCTGTTCGTATTCGTTTACGGCTCTAATTACAATAACGAACATTGTGGTTTTCATTTTTAAAAATAGTCGTTTGACTTTTGAGTGAAAGGTATTATCCTTTTTTTTTTACTCATTTTTGTTTTTTCTGTTTTGTCTTCTCCCAACCCCACCCCACACATCATACTGAAATATTCCATGGATCTTGAACTTGAAGCACAGAGCTTTTAAATAAATAATCCACAAATTTGATTATTTAATATGCAATGCAACATTTTGTTGATAAATCAACATATAAATTAAACCATGAGAATTACTTCTCATGACCAGGAAAAAAAAATGAATTTCATAATTACAATTAGTCAGTATATAACCTTTTTTCATCTTTTTAATTTAATTTATTGGGCAATGAGAACAAAAATCTCCTAAATTTGAAGCTTCTGGTACAGACCCATGTCCATCCCATTGTAAGCTATCGGAGCATACATCCACATCTCATCGGAGCTCAGCAACTGCATACAAGTTCATCAGAAAAAGCATTAAATGATATGTAATAGATATGAGAAAGGTGATCAAAGCAATGTTGTTTTATGCACTGCTGCATGAACATGTGCAGATATTTCTGTGAATCTCGATTACTATTATTAAATCTAAATAATCATACCTTAATTTGAAGCTGCAAGAACTTCACATAATGGACAGCTTCTTCAAGCATTGTGCTAATGTCAACCTTCGTCCCATTTGGTACCAGGTTCTGAAGGATTTTCAGTCTTTCATTTATCCTCTCTCTTCTTTTCTGTAAACGAAGCAAAACCCATTAATCATCATTTCATAAGAATCGAGCCCCCGATCGACTTTGCAAAAACAAATGGAAGTAAGTTACACTCACCCTTGCATAGAGGCTTTGTGGATCAGTTGCTGCACCTCTACTGGCTCTTGTTTTCCAGTTGGAGTTAACACCACCTGATCCATTCGGGTCTTGAGAAAGACTCAGGTCGTCCTCCGAACTGCAAGAACATGAACTTGCTGTTGGTGCATTCCCTCCTCCTTTGTTGTTGTTAGTGTCTTCTAGCCCGTCAATGTTCCCATTGCCATTTACAGTAGCAGGAGCCATCACCTTCTGTTTATTCTTAGGCTGCACTTTCTTCTTATTTTTCTGTTAAAAAAACATTGACAAAAAAAGGGTATTCAATAAAACGTTCTTTAAAGATGTGACTGAATATATTAAATTAATTCCACAACCTCACAATAACTAGATAAAGTACTATACTCACATTATCTGATCTTGAAACCCTAGTTTTCTTATTGGGTATTTCGTTGTTGACTTTGTCTACCACTACCTTTGGAGATTCTGACGTTTCAATCTTCCGTTTGACGGGAGCATGCTTGCGCTGATCGGCAATTGATACCGATGGAGAAACTGAATTCTCCATGATGACATCTTCTTTCAAGCATAGAATTTCTTCCATGGAATCCTCAGAAAAAACTTGGGCTAGTAATGATGAGTTGTTATTGTTTTCATCAAAAAGACTGACTGACTCATCATCACAAACACCATTTGTTGGTAAAGGAGTAATGTTAGAATTAGATGGGTAGGGAAGAGAGACTGCACCATCATAAGCTGCACATCCATTGATGTTACTTTCTTGAGAGAAATAATGGTAGAAATTAGGGTTAATATTTTCAGAAGCAATACGATGATCGATGAACGATGAGTTATCATTATAACATTCAGCCATAACAGATGAAACAATGGAAGGAGTTTCAAAGTTCAAACCATGATCATCATGTTCACTTGAAAACAAGCCATGGCTGGGGAAATGGTCTGAATCTTGATCACCAGAGAACATTCTGCTCAAATTTTCCCATTCTTCATCAAACAAACTTCCAAAAGACTCCATCTCTTCTGAGAGAATTTGGATTGAAGGGCTATTCACAGAGAAGCTATATATATATATCTATATATATATTTAGATGATGATGATCAAAAGGAAGGTATTGAGAAACATATTTATACCCTTTATGAAGAATGTTAGTAGGGTTTGACTTGATTAATTAATTGCTAATCATTCAATTTTTTTGCAAGTCTTTTATGTATGCATATATATATATATATATATATATATATAAAAATCAAGAGTCCACTGTGGGACCTAACTGCCAAGCAAAGTACAACACGCAATAACAGGTCAATGGATGAACCATTAAATCGCAATTTGAGTTACTGGTTTTAAATTTTAATTAGCATGCAACTAATTGCGATGATTAATTCTTGAATGGTAATTTAAAGTTGGGTTTTCAAGATTTGATCTAAGTCGTGGAAACGATTAAGATTTGATATGAGTTGATTTTCTTTGTAATTGTAAATGAAAATCTAACCGATCATCTCCGATTGAGATTTTGAGCATTATTTTTCCGGTGGATTGAGATTCAGAAGATCAAAAGAGATACTACCCATCTGTCAGAAACACAAAGTCAAAATATCTTTAATTGCATTATTTTTGAAGAATGTATATTAAAATAGAAACATTTTTGAGTTGTTTTCAAGAAAATTAAAATAAKCTGAATCAATTAATTTAAAATGTGTACAGAAAATTAAGAAAACATTAACTACAAAGCATTCCATAAATGGGATTAATTATTTTAAAATGGTTTAATCTTCATATAATATGATTGGAGGGTCTTAATTCCAAGCATGAAATGGTGACTAATAACCCTTATTTATTAATTAGCTGCAAACAATTCCAAATGAAAATTAATAAAGCTCAAAAATTAAAACACTTTGTCACTACAACAAAATCGGGTTTATAGAAAACTCCCAATTTTTAAGTGTCCTAATAGATTTCTTTATAGGACTTAGTTTATAGAACCAAAAAAGTAAAGTGTCATATCTAAGGGTGTTGTAACAAGTTTATATGACGTTTTTTGACGTCGTAATAAGTTTTTTAGGACAATTTTATTATAAAGCGTCTCATTAGCAACTTTATAGGATACTATTTGAAAAATTGTCCTATAAAAACAAATGTCCTATAAAAAATTGAGTTTATAGGACATTTTCTCAAAAGTGTCATATAAAGTTGCTAATGCGACATTTTGTATTAAAAATGTCCTAAAAAACTTGTTAAGACGTCCAAAAACGTCATATAAACTTATTACAACACCTTTAGATAGGACGTTTAATTATATTTTGGTCCTATAAAGCGGTCTATTGGGACGCTTAAAAATTGAGGTGTCCTATAAACTCAATTTTGTTGTAATGTATATACAAGCATTAGTGTAAAACATCTATTTTTTTTGGTACTTATAAAAATTAGAAGCTGMTAATAAAAGAATATTTACAGATCGATAATGATTTGATGATTATTTCTATTAGAAGATAAGCCCTAGAATACAAAACTTTCATACGCATTGTTTAAACTCGAAAGATTGAATTTTAGGAATATATGTGACGGTAATTAACAGTTTGGAAGATTTTCTGTTAACTTGAATTCTTTATTCGATAGATTTATATAAAACAAAAGGTTAAAATCTTGGGGCGGCTTTATAAGTTGGACAATGTGACAGAAAAGAATGGCCTTTAATTTGTCCCCTAAGATGCCCTAATCCAATCCAATCCTTAACCTTAATTAAACAAGAGATATGATATCTTTGAATTCTCAAGACGTGTTCATTAATTTTCTATGTGTGGTCCTCATGCTATTAGTAACAAAAGGTCTACCTACATTAACTATTGAATATTACTAAGGGTAGTTTAGTACATTAGCATCGGTTAAAGATAGGAAAACGCACATATAATAAACACCATATATACTAATAGCAATGTATATGTTCGAAGCTATATAATTTTTGTATATCATGCCATTCAACTCGAATTGACTCGTTAACATCCTTTTTTTATGTTAATTGCAGGTATTGTGTGCATCTTAACTAATTAATTTTGGTGAATAATTGAGAAAATCTTAATAATTATAACCATGATTTATATAAGAAATCTTAATAAGAGATGATGAGAACCTAGTCGTGAATTGACCTGCCTATTTATATGGCTTTACACATCATTTTTAAATAATATTTGCTTCTACTTCTAATTTCCATCCAATGGGAATTGCACCGCACGATCCCTTCTCACCGTGTCGGCTGCTCCACCATTTTATTCTTTTTTTTTAAAGAAATATTGGATTTTAATTTTAAAAAATAAGAATGTTTTTTTTTTTTTTATAATTACGTTACATTTGTTTTTTAAAAGTTTGAAATCTTATTTCAATAAAACTGTTTGTTTTTGTAAATCGATAAACGTCTAAACGATTAAGGTTAATCGATTAAAAAATATCGTTATTGAGGATTTAAAGAATAACAAAAAGTAAATAAGATATTGGTTTACCTGTTATAAAATAAAAATAAAATAAAAAAAGAATAGAATATGCAGCTTTCGGAGAAAAGCAAAAGCAAGAGTTGTAAGAGACAGCTAATCTTATTGTCTTAAGCTACCAACCAACAACTAAAATACAAATATTTATTCCATCATCGATCCATACGTGGTTTCGTACTTTCAAGCCACGTACTTCTCTTCTTTTAACTAACTTTTATGTAATCATTATGCATGATACACATTACCCACACATGTATGTATAATTCTAAAACTATAAAGTTTGGACAGTTGGTGTAGAAAGTAAAACAAAGCCAAGTTAGGGACTAAATCTGTCATCTCACGAAAGAAGGAAGTCCAGGGACTAGTTTGGTCATTGACCAAAAGTTGAGGGACTACGTTTCCAATTGTTTTACATAATTCATTGTCGGGTATATGTGTATTTCATATATAAAACGTACTTCGTGCTTAAATTTTCTTTCACATACGAAACAATCCTAAATATTTTATAGATTGTTTATAAATTGTTTTCATTGAAAAAATGCATGTTTTATATGTGTTTTCATAAATTSTTTTATGGAAACTAAACAATTGAAAACAATTGTATGTTATATGTAAAATCGTTGCAATAAGTTTATAAAATGTTTTTATACGATTTAATATAGGATGCTAGAAAATAAAATGTCGTTTTAGTTTCTTTGCAGAACATGACTTTTGAGAAATATTTTATAAACACATTTTTTATAAGACACATCTTTGTAAGACATTTTTCAAATAATGTCATTTAAGAAAAATGAACAGGAAGTTTCAATATTATATTAAAAACCTGTTAAGTCGTTCAAAAAAAACTTATAAATTTATTGCAATGTATTTACATAGAACGTAAAATTGTTTGGTCTTGTAAATTAAATCCAATAAAGCAGACTATATTAGAACATTCACACATTTTTGGCATCATATAAACCTCAATCAGTTTTGTTGTATTTACACATGAAAACTTGTTTGCATGTTTGTAATATATTATAATATTTGCGGTTTTTATTTGATTTATTGTATATAAGGGTTTAATGATTTGAGAACTTCAAATTTTATGAGATTCGTGAGATCCAATAATTTAAGATAATTAATGTTATTGATTATTGAGATAAGTATCGTTATTTATTAAATAAAATTTAATGCCGTTTTAGGAAATTACATTCATATTTCTTTTCTCTTTCCTTAACATGCACACATGCATATTAAATGTGCACATAAAATGAATACATAGTGAACACGACGTAAACAAGTTTAAGAAATTTTAACTAGTGTTCACTACAAGTGCTAGGTTTGTACTAATTTTATTGATTTAAATGGTATTCAAAATATGTTCACAAGCTATATCAAATATCGTAGATTTAGAGTGTGTTTACAATGTGCCCACAAACAATAATAATATTTCTAGAAAATATTCTCAATGTGTTCACCTTATGTATATATTCAGTTTTTGGTGTATGTATATGTCATGAAAAAATGGAGAGGAGAAAGAAAATAGAAGAGATAGAGAGAAAAAAGCGGATAGAGGAGAGATATATTTTTAATTTAGCTTTCAACTAATTTTTGGTGGTCTAAATTGGATTATACGGATGTCACAAATTACAAAGTTTTAAAAGAAAACCTCAATATGTGTGTGAGTGTATATGTATACGCAGTTAAAATGCAACTCTTTCAAATGTTGCAACCAATGCAACCCAATGAAATTTAATCACGGATCAACCCCCATTTTCAGGAGTATTTTTGTCTTTAATTTTGTAAATATGTAACCGCTTGATCCCAATCATAACTGCCTTATCCTTAGTCATTGTTTGTTTAATTATATGGTGTAGATGAAGTTGCATTGGTTGTAGTATTTAAGAGGGTTGCATTTGATGAGTCTGATATATATATATATATATATATATATATATATATATATATATATGAACGATCAAATGAAAACCACTCAATTTGTAAAAACCGTAAAAACCACATTCAACCAATCATAGTTTTTCATTTTGTTCATTTTTTTTGTAATTATGAAAGACTGATTAATCATTTTTATTGTGGAGGGTGTTAATCATGGATATTATCATCTTCATTAGTTTAATTTTAGAAAAATACATGAAACAATTTCATTAAGTTGTATATGAAACAATTTCATAACCATATATGAAACAACTTAATCAAAAAAAGTATTATATGAAACAATTTCACAAGATTAAACAATTTCATGAAAAAATTTCATAAGATTAAACAATGAAATCGACAGATGAGGGTGGTTTGCACGGTTTTTACAAATTGAAGTGATTTTCATTTGATCGCTCTTCTATATATATATATGGGAGTGTTCAAATAAAAACCACTCAATTTGTAAAACCGTGAAAACCTCATTTTACCGCAATCATAATTTTTCATTTTTTTTGTAATTATGAGAGGTTGATTAACCATTTTTATTGTGGAGGGTGTTAATCATGGATATTATCATCTTCATTATTTTAATTTTAGAGAAATACATGAAAC